ATATATATATATATATATATATATATATATATATATATATAGTATTTTATATATTATATAATAAAATTTTCAGGTGGTGCTTTCCCAGTAGTTGTCAATTTTTAATTATAAAGACAGAGATAAAGTTTATGGTTTTTCTCTTTATAATATTATTGGCTCCTTTGTGCGGGGATTGCCATGTTTGCCTAGCAGTGGCAGTTTCTTGGTCTGTACATGATTTTTTTTTCCTTTGGTTTATACATATTTTTCTCTGAGGTGGAATCATGGATGTTGAATTTCTCTTACATAAGAAAAGAAAAGACTCTTGGCTCGGCTTACACATAAGCATAACCCTTCCATCCAGGCCTATTTTGAACAATTTAAAACCAATCCGTACATCCAGAGCTCTTTCTGCTGAGAGTTGAGCTTCCCTGACTCACCAGCAGGTGGCGCTACCTTCCGAGCCTGCCTTAATTGGGTCAGAGCATGGCTTTAGTTGACCTCTTGTGCCCATAGTTACTTGAGCATTTTTCACATCCCCCGGGAAAAACTTAAAACTCTGTTGCTTACTCTAGCTGTCCAAGTACTATCTCAGGGAAACCAAATATTTTTTGCTTATTCTCTGGTTTCTAAATTGCCAAGATTTTGAGTAATCTGCTCCTAAACTTACTTTCCCAACAGCCTGTAATTTGATTGTGCAATTTTTGCAAAACATGGGTTATTTTTCTTCCAAGAATGTGTATTCCTAGGGGAAAAGGCAAGGGCTAAAAATACAGCTCAGTAGTGTATCACTTGCCTAGCCTATAGAAGGCCCTAGGTTCAATCCCTAGAACTGCGAAGAGAGAATAAATAAAAACAAAATTCATTGTCAGATAATTTCAAGCCACTTGTTTATAAAAAATAAGGGCCACAAGGGCTGGGAATGTGGCAAAATGGTAGAGTGCTTGCCTAGCATGCACAAGACCCTCAGTTTGATTCCTCAGTACCACATAAACAAAAAATATTTTTAATTATATTTTTAAAGAATAAGGGTCACATTGCATATATTTTCAGAATAGAAATGAAAAGAGAAGTTGCCTCTTAGGTACAAAGGTAGAACAAGGAGAAGATGCGGTCTGTCTGCTCCAGGTGGCCCCTGAGAACAGGAGAATGTAGCAGCTATTTCCTGCTATCATAAAGCAAGAGAGTTTACCATCTTTAGTTTAGATGAATGATGACAGTAAACACAAAGCACAGTCTATCTTCACCCAACAAGGAAGATTCACAATTCTAATTCTAGAAAGGGAAAGAGAATGATCAAAATGAGTTGTATACTCCAGATGTGTGTAAGGCTTTGGGGGTTTGTTTTGGTTGTTTGTTGTTTCCTTGTTGTTTTGTTTTTGCTGGTCCTGTGGCTTAAACTCAGAGTCTGGGTGCAGAGCCTGAGCTATTTTTGCTCAAGATTCAAACTCTACTACATAAGCCACAGCTCCACATCCTGCTTTTTGGTGGTTAGTTGGAGATAAATTCCTGCCTGGATTGGTTTCAAACTGCAGTCCTCAGATCTCAGCACCTGAGTTGTTAGGATTACAGACCTGAGCCACCAGCGCCCAGCTTCCAAATGTATTTTTAAAAACAAAAGCCTAGCACGGCATGGGTTATGAGAAAACTAAGTGAGAGGCATACACGTTAAGGGAGGAACACCATAGGGTTACTACATGTTTTTATGGAAATCAAGTATGCCTGAAACATTTCACTCCCAAGCATTCCATGGAGAGTTAGCATTATTTTGAATTCTATATAATGTCCATAGCTTGTGCTATAATGCTTTTGGAATCATAAATGGAATCAGATGCATTCAATTACTTGTTTCTTCCAAAGCTTGGTAATACAGGAGAACAATCTCATTTGTAACTTTTATTAGAAAAACAAGAAAAGCATTGTAAATAATTTAGGACTAGGATGCTTTTGGATTTAATTGCTTTCAAATGAAAGATAAGAAAGAAGTGATTTTTTTCTTTTTTAATATGTATTTTGTATTGTAAAGATACTGTACAGAGGGGTTACAGTTACATGAGTAGGGTAATGAGTACATTTCCTATTAAGCATTGTTACCCTCTCCTTTGTTTTTCCCCTACCATCCCTTCCCTCCCCACTTCCCCAACTCCCCTCCTCCCCCCTCCCTCACCCTGTACGCCTGATGTTGTAAAGTTCATTTTCAACATAGTGTCTTGTACATCTCATTGTTAAAATAGGTTAACCTGTATCCTTATTTAAGCATTTTGTTTTTACCCATCCCCTCCCCAGAAAGAAATGATTTTTGCACTATATAATAACTCGATTAATGAATTAGAAAGGCAGAGATTTTCTTTCCCTTCGTGAATGTTTTGTCCCATAGAACATTGTATGAATACTAAAGACACAGAGCTTGCTAAGTCATGAGCCATAACTGTGATTCCCGATGCTCCTATGCGTTGATATAGACTTGCTCCTCACTAGCAAATGTGACAAAAGAGAATATGTGAAGAATAGGGTAATTTCATCCTGTTAAAAAGTCAACAGCCTTCTCTTGACGTTTGCGTTTGCTAAATTCTATAATTGTGGACATTTGGATTCAATCTGCTTAGTGATTTCTGCCAAAAAAAAATCCCCTTTCATCATTGTGAAATTATGCACTTGAATACTTTTTTTCTCTCAATTACCAAAAAAAAAGATCAGCATGTATTTTATTTTCTCAAAAATTCCTAAGCAGGAATGAAACATGGTCAGATATCCTTAATTTTTTTTCTTTTTTTTCCTTAATTTTTATAACCGGAAGATTAAACATTTTCAGCCTGAGGACTGGTAGCTATTTTACAACAATAATTCTGAGCAGCGAACAGTAAGTGTGTCTTCCACAGAAAAACAGTAAAGCCAAGCACTGGTGGCTCATTCCTAGAATCCATGCTACTCAGGAGGCTGAGATCTGAGGATGGAGATTTAAAGCCAGCCCTGACAGACAAATCCAAGAGACTCTTATCTGCAACTTACCAGCAAAAAGCCAGAAGTATACCTGTGGCTTAAATGACAGGATGCCAATCTTGAGCATAAAAACTAAGGGAGGGGAAAAAAAGAAGGAAGGAAGCATGGTTGGAAGGAAGAAGGAAGGAAGGAGAGGGAGAAAGAAGGAGAGAGGGAGAGCAAGAAAGATAAAGGAAGGAGAGAAAGGAAAGAGAGAAAAAGAGCAAGAAGGGAAGGAAAGGAAGGAAAGAAAGAAGGAAGGAAGAGAGAGACGGAGGGAGGGAGGGAGGGAGGGAGGGAAGGAAGGAATTTCTATGTATCCATACAGCCTTCAGGTCTCATATCTAAGATCAGATGAATATTTTTGACAGTGTGGGTACTTGGGCCTATTGTTTTAAATATACCAAAAGGCAAATATAAGCCAGAAACTGGTGGCTCACGCCTGTAATCATAGCTACTCAGGAGTCTGAGATCTGAGGATCACAGTTCAAAGTCAGCCAGCCAGGAAAAGTCCATGAGATTTTTATCTCTAATAAACTACTCAGAAAAGCCAGACTAGCACTGTGGTTCAAGTGGTACAGCACTAACCTTGAGCACAAAAGAGACTCAGGGACAGCGCCCAGGTCTGGAATTCAAGTCCCAGGACTGGCAAAAAAAAAAAAAGGCAAATATATCCAAGAAGCAGGTTTTCAAGAGAGAAAAAATATTTCTCAGGCAAATCTGGAAGAAATCTGCTTGATAGGTTCCTGGAAGAAGAAGGAACTGCCCAGATGTCTCCGTGTTGGCTTTGCAATATGCATGAATTAGGAAGGGGAGTCCTTCAGCTGTGCTCACTGCCTGTTCCTCCCCCAGATTGTATCATACACTTCCTCCTGTTGCTTAACTCTGCACAGGACCTACAGGAACTGCCCATCTCCGTCTTTAAACTTGTTAAGGTCAGCATAGGTGGGACAGGAAGCTGCTCACAGCCTAACCCAAACTTTTCTGGTGGTGGTGGTTAGGGAGCTTGAACCCAGGGCCTGGGCACTGTCCCTGAGCTTTTTCACTCAAGGCTAGTGCTGTACCACTTGAGCCACAGCACCACTTCCGGTTTTCTGCTGGTTGATTGGAGATAAGAATCCCAAGAACTTTCCTGCTCGCGCTGACTTTGAACCACATCCTCAGCGATCAGCCTGCTGAGTAGCTAGGATTAACTATCAGCCACCAGCATCTGACCTAACCCAAACTTTGGAAGAGAAAGGCATGTTGCCAATTTTGTGGCCTATTGAATCCCTTTTTTGTGTGTGTGCCTGTTCTAGGTCTTGAATCCAGGGCCTGCGCACTGTCACTGAGCTTTTTGGCTCTACTGCTCAAGCCACAGTTCTACTTACGATTGTGTGTGTGTGTGTCTCTGTGTGTGTGTGTGTGTGTGTGAGAGAGAGAGAGAGAGAGAGAGAGGGAGGGAGGGAGGAGAGAGGGAGAGACAGAGACAGACAGAGACAGAGACATAGAGAGAGATTAGTTGGAAATAAGAGTAGATAAGAGTCTCACAGACTTTCCTGCTTGGTTGGACTGGCTTCAAACCACAAATCCTCAGATCTCAACCTCTTGAGTAGCTAGGATTACAGGTATGAGCTACCAATACCTAGCTCAAATCACTATTATTTCTGCCAGTCCTGGGACTTGAACTCTGGACCTAGGCACTGTTCCTAAGTTCCTTTTGCTCAAGGCTAGCACTCTACCTCCTGAGCCATAGTGCCACTTCTGGCTTTTTCTGCAATTAACTGGAGATGAGTCTCACAGATTTTCCTGCCCACCTGGCTTCAAGTTGTGATCCTCAGATCTCAGCCTCCTGAGTAGCTAGGATTTCAAGCATCAGACACTAGTACCCAGCTCAAATCACTTTTTTATTTTTATTTTATTTTTTTTTGGGGGGGGATCCAGTCGTGAGCCTGAACTCTGGGCCTGGGCACTTTCCCTCAGGTCTTCAGCTCAAGGCTAGCGCTCTACCACTTGAGCCACAGCACCACTTCCGGCTTTTTTTCTTTTTGCTTATGTGGTGCTGAGGAATCGAACCCAGAGCCTCAGGCATGCAAGGCAAGTGCTCTACCACTGAGCCACCTTCCCAGCCCTCAAATCACATTTTTAATTAAGATAAGTCTCACTGGGAAATGACCAGAACTAACATTCTGTAAATATACTACAAATACACTGATCCCAAAGAAAATCCAAACTCTTGATGCATTGCTTTATGAGATAATCTCCTTCATTACCTTCAAAATCAGGACCCTTCGGGGAAACAGACACCTTACCCAGAAAAGCCAGTGATGTCCTGGTCCTTATTGAAGATATGTAAATTCAGGTCCCTGCAACTACCAGCTGTACTGCAAATTCATTCAGTACATCTTTTTTTTCATGGAATAAAATGTAAAAATATTTTCCTATCTGCTTCTAGAGCAGCTGGCTTCTCTATCTACATCTCCTTTCCTTAGTCCACCTTTGATCTCTGCTTTTCCCTTCAAAGAATGGTAGACGAGCCACCAAACATAGGTATATGACTTTAATCCCATGAGGCACTTGGGAAACTGAGGCAAGAGGAGATGTTATTATAAAGCATAGAAGGCAGTACTTTCTCGTTCTGTTTTAGGTCTTGCCTATCAGCAGGCAGTCTTGAAGACAGAGCCACAGCTTGGATGATTGTTTTCAGTTTTGGGAATTGGTTTCTCACCTCCATATTCCTAAGCACACAAGTGCTTCTTCCTTCCGTTTGCAGAAGCCATGTTGAAACCCTAAATAACTAGTCGTGTACAGGTGCTGAAATGTACTGGCTTGTTCTGTGGCTTTCTCCTCAGCTCGTGGTCAAGGTGCACATGCATGATAACAGCACAAAGTCACTGATGGTGGATGAGCGACAGTTGGCCCGAGATGTTCTGGACAATCTTTTTGAAAAAACCCATTGTGACTACAATATAGATTGGTGTCTTTATGAAATATACCCAGAATTACAAATCGGTAAGTCCTTTCCCTGGAAGCACACTGGATTCTAAAAGTTTTGTGGTGGGTGTGTGCTTTATTTTGGGCTTTGGTTCAAGGCTCTCATAATACCCCATGTGTCATTTCTCTAAAGAACATTAATGCTGAGCCGGATCTTGATGGCTCATGCCTGTAATCCTAGCTACTCAGGAAGCTGAGATCTGAGGATCACAGGTCAAAGCCAGCCTGGGCAGGAAAGTCCATGAGACTCTTATCTCCAATAAACTATCAGAAAACCTGAAGTGGCGCTGAAGCTCAAGTGGTAGAGTGCTCGCCTTGAGCTGAAGAGCTGAGGGACAGTGCCCAGGCCCAGAGTTCAGGCCCCACAACAGACCAAAAAAAAGAAGAAGGAAGAGGAGGAGGAAGAGGAGGAGGAGGAGGAGCAGGAGCAGGAGGAGGAGGAGGAGGAGGAGGAGAAGAAGAAGAATGCTTTGCCTTCTTAGTATTACTTTGTAAGGACACTCAGGTTGGAGCAGGTGTCTGGACCTTGGGGAATAGAAGCATTATTATCACCATCTCTCTAATGGTCCATAAGGGAAAGACAGTGGCAGGAGGATTCTTCTTACTGCTTGCTTAGTAAGATGAACAGATTGTGGGAACCTGGGCATCTGTCTGCCGTTAAGAGGTAGTGTCACAGGTTGTTTCCTCAAAGCCCAGTGTGATTCTGTCACAGGCCTCGTCTGCGCTCACTTCCCCTTCCTCCTCCCTCTAACTGGCCTAACCTGCCTCATGGAAGAGTCTCAGCCCCAGAGACCAAAGCAGAGTGGCAGAAATTGATGGCATTTTAAAGGCATTTGAGAAGTGTTCTCTTCCTCCTGGTTCATAATAGAACTCCAAGGCCCATTGTCTTCCAGGCAGATGCCTTCTTTTAGGTTTTTATTGGTTCAGAGTTTAGGGAATGATGCTTTCTGGACCTCACAATTTCAAGCTGTTTGATCTGTTATTGTTTTATCATCCTCCCACACAAAGAGAAAGCACACATCAAACTTAGGGTATTTAAAGTAAAACATACTAACATTAAAAGGCTGATGCCAGTGGCTCATGCCTATATAATCCTAGTCACTCAGAAGGCTGAAATCTAAGGATTGAATTTCAAAGACAGCCTGGGCAGACAATCCTGAGAGACTCTTATCTCCAACTAACCAGGAGAAAAGCTGGAAATAAAGCCATGGCTTCAAGTAGCAGAACACCAGCAAAAAAGCTAAAGGAGGGTACCCAGGCCCTGAGTTCAAGCCCTGAGATGGTCCAAAACCTGACACTGATTATAATAGAAGTGTAACAGAATGATATCATGTAAAATTAAGAAGTTTAGAAACCTTAAGAAAATTGTGAGGCAGTGTTTGATTCAATAACAGCTTGTTTTTCAGTTTGAAACTCTGATATGTTGGGTCTGAAAGAATCTTTTTTATTTCATCAGAGAGGTTTTTGGAAGACCATGAAAATGTTGTGGAAGTCTTATCCGATTGGACAAGAGACACAGAAAATAAAGTGCTATTTCTGGAGAAGGAGGAAAAATACGATGTATTTAAAAATCCCCAGGTAAGAGGACCCCCATATTGTCCAAGTACATAAGGAGTGATGGCTTTTCAATGTCATCTGCATAATGAATGAACTATTACATCACAAAATATCATAAATGTAGTTCTTTCAAGTAAACACAAATTCAACTTTTAGGCTACATGTAAACTATGAAGGCTTTGGAAGATTTAGAAAGAAAAAAATCCAAGGTCCGGACTATATATCTCTGCGTTGTCTAGCTTTCTCTTTTGTCTGAATTTCTGTTGGGCTCCATTAAGCCAGTGTAAAATTGATACACTGTTGATGGTTAAACTTTTCTGCTGTGAACAACAATTTCTTTATTATTCATATTTGGAGGTTTTTGATGCTTGGATCACTCGAGGGTGTGCCTGGAAATGCACGCATTTATTGCCTCCTACAAATAATCAACACAAATAAAAACACTATTGTGCATATTTTAAAATGCTAACAGTGTCACTGAGAACTCTAAACCTTTTCCATTGTGGCCTCAAGCAGCCATATTTTCTTTTTTTTGGAGGGGGGGGGTCCAGTAGTGGGCCTGAACTCTGGGCCTGAGCACTGTCCCTCAGCTCTTCAGCTCAAGGCTAGCGCTCTACCACTTGAGCCACAGTGCCACTTCCGGCTTTTTTCTTTTTGC